TAATCTGCAGGGTGTAGGGTGCATATAAACATTGGTTTACTCACGTTTCAGCTATTTAATCTCAAGTATAAGATAATCCTTTAAATTGCACCATAGATAATTGCTGGGTTTGTCTCATAAAATGTGAAAAAATCTTTTACTTTTCTCGTCCATTTATAACAAATATTTATTTTAAATTCCTTCCAAGTTACCATCTATCACAGTTATACCTGCAGTTTCTGGTGGCAGTAGAGTTTTATCAAATTTGATATTTACAATCGAATAGCAACAAATGAAAAGTCTTTGTCTCTGATGATAAAAGCTGTTCACATTACTGCAAATATTTTTAGTTGTCATTCTTTGTTCTTTCTCATGTGATGAAAAAAAAAAAACAGTTCAACTTACAGCATTTCATGACAAAATCAGACCTACCTTTCTGGTGTCTCCTCCTTTCCGGTTCTGTGGGGTCTGTTGGTGTTGGTGGTTGTTGCTGTTTCGGCCTCGTCTCCTTCTTGCCATCACGGATCTTCTGCTGGGATCTCACAGGCTGCGTCTCTCTGCTGGCCTTTCCAGCCTTACATGTGGGATGTGTGAGCCTGTGCTGCTTCTTAACTTTACATCCCATCAGCCTGTCTGACCCTGATGACGGGAGAACACGTCGAGCAAAGTTCATGCCACTCTGGTGAAGGCATTCGGAAATGGAGATTACATTTGCAATCAATACAGATCTGAGGTTCTTTCACAGTAAGGCTTTTTTTTGTGCTTGCTGGGTAACTGTTTTAGCCATTATACACATTTAACAGGTTGGTAATAGAGTGCTTTGGAAAGTCATATTTCTACAACTTCATGTGTATTCTTGGGGTTTAATGATAGAGGTACAGAAGGTGATGCATTTGGTGTGGAGTTAAATAAATACATGAATTGGGGCATGCATTTGTAGGGCAAATAAAATCAAATTCAAGAAACACCTTGATACTAATGAGGCTCATTTGCCATACCTAAGGTACTGTTTAGAAATAACAACCTTTAAGCAGCTATTAAACACGTGTTTTATTGAGCCCAGATTTCTGTATTAAACATTGTTTTTTTTTTGTTTCTCTGATGTAATAGTCTACTCTTTTAGGTAGTGTTTTGTTTTAACTAAATCCATATGAATAATAGAAAAAAACTTAAAAACAACATGCTGTTTTATTAATCTACAGTGTGTTTTACAATGATTTCAATTAACAAAATAAGCTGTAGAAGATCCTCCTTCCTGCAACTAACATCTAAATCAAATGGCTGAAAAAAACAAGTTAGTACAACATTTTATTTCCCTTTGGGATGAGTAAAGCATTTTTAAACTGAATTAAATAGAACTTTCCAGTAATATTCATGAATGTCTTGCATTCTGAAGTTAACTCTTTATTTTTCATTTTATTCTATTCACCTAATTAAGTTATCTAGCACCAATTCAAACCTGTATTTTTGTTTTGATCCACTCTATAAAGACTCGTACTATGCTATTTCTGACATTTTGAATTGAAAAAGCTTCCTGGATGAAGCCAAATGTCTTCAAACTTGGAAACAAAGACCCGTGGATTGTTTTTTAACTTTTTTGACTATGACCTAGATCACTGGGAATCTTCACCAGTTTTAAGAACTGCTCTTCTCTGATCAGAGATCTGATATTTTCTCCTCTTTGAGCAATGGGAACTTCTCAGTCACATGCCTTAGAGCAGGGGTCTCAAACCGGTTCCAGAAAGGGCCGCGTGGCTGCAGGTTTTGTTTCAAACCAAGCAATAGCACACCAGACTCCATTCAGATGATGTACTCAGATGATGAGATGAATGGAGTCTGGTGTTCGGTTGGAAAGAAAACCTGCAGCCACACGGCCCTTTCTAGAACCAGTTTGAGACCCCTGCCTTAGAGGATTTTGCCTTCTATACCAATTACTTAGCTTGTGGTCCATGTGTGATTTACATGGTTTCAAGGTTTTAAACTCAGCTGTCTATGTCTTTTTCAACCATTCTTAGGTCAGTGTTACCAGCCACTTAGAGTTTTTTCTCGTCAACAGGTCCTAATCATGAACTTTGGAATTCTGCTCTGTTTAAGGACAAGCCATTACCCATGTTGGGTTTTTTTGTTTTGTTTATCCTACACAGTAACTCTTTTCCTTCCATTCTTTTATTTAGTATTTATTTAGTTTTTTTAGATTGGAGAATTTGGGCAAAATTCCTTATCCAAGTTTCTAGTCTTCATAACAGTGAATTTCAGTTTCTCTTAAGGCCAGCTGGATCTGTCTAGGTTATCTACTGACTGGAAAGGTTTGTGCTCTTAGCTTGTTTCCGACATTCGGTTAGTTTCTTTGAACTTCTTCCACTCTGCCTGTCGAATCCTAAGGTTTTTGTATCTCTTTTGAACATCTGTAATGTTACTTTCTGATAAAGACAAGTGCAGTCTCTAACCTGAAAGACATTGCAGTGTCCCTGCCGTGTACCTTGGTTTAGTGAATCAGAGAATAGATGCGTATCTCCTTCTTAGTATGTAGATTAGTATAATCTATGTAGAGATTATGGCTGATAATTGCACTACTTCAAAACTAGGGTCTGTAGCCAGCGTTTTGTGTAATGAAAACCTCTCATTGATACATCTTTATATTAATGATGAGTTGTCTCGTATATTCTTACTGAACTCTCTATAAAGCCTTTTAATGCCCTATTGGTCAGATTTTCCATAAGTTTGTTGTTTCTTTTCATTTCTTTGCAGATGATGTTCAGATTTATATGCCCCTTAAACTACAAAATGGGAAAAATGAATCTCTTGAGCTATTGATAGATTGTCTAGCTGAAGTCAAATCTTGGATGGAACAAAGCTTTCTTCACCTTAATCAAAGTAAAACTAAAGTTATAATATTTGATCAGAATCTTCATACTACAAATCCAGATCTAATTCTTGGTTCTTTAGCTCAGTTTCGTCAGACCTCTGCTAGGAATCTTGGTTTTACTTTCGACAGCTGTTTAAAGCTGGATAAACAAGTTAGCCCTGTTGTTAGATCAATTTTTTTATCACCTGCGGATTTTAGCAAAAATTAAATACTATTTTTGTTTTAAGGACTTTGAAGGACTTATCCATGCTTTCATTACATGGATTATTGCCATTAATTATATAGAGGCATTGATAAATTACAGATGCAGTGACTTCCATTGATCCAGACCGCAGCGGCTCGGCTTCTTACAGGAACCAGGAAGCGTGACCATATAAGGCATATACTGGCCGCTTTACATTGACTGACTGTCTTTTACCGAGTAGATTTTAAGATTCTCTTACTAACTTATAAAGTCTTAAATGGATTAGCTCCTCCTTATCTTAGAGACCTTTTAAAATTCCAGTCTGTGTTGAGAAGTCTGCACTCTAATAATCAACTACTACTGACAGTTCCTCGGACTCGACTTAAGAGGAAAGGAGATTGGGACTTCTCTGTTGTTGTTAAAATTCTGTAGAACCATTTACCTCTTCAATTTCAATCCGCCCACAACCTGGATCATTTTAAATCGCTTCTTAAAACTTATTTTTATTCTTCGGCTTTTAATTAAAGCAGCGTTTCACATTCAGTTTTGTTAATTGGTGTTGTTGTCTTTCCTGTAAAGCACTTTGGTGCAGTTTTATACCTGTTTTTAAAGTGCTATATAAATAAATTTGACATTGTCATTGACAATGCCCTGTTGATATTTTGCAGTTTTAAGATATCCATGATCCACATGTTTGGCCTAGAGTTATACATTTCTTATAGTCAATTTAGACTGGACATGTGTATATCTGCTCTGACAGTCTTTGATGACAAGTTTTTAAAACCAGCTGCTAGTGTTTGGCATACCTGTTCCTAAATTGGTTGATGCGTTTTGTCATATTTGCCTCTTCGATGTTTTATTTGATCTTTATTGAGTACATTTTCTAATACCGGGTATATATTCTACAGTCTGTTTAAATGTGAATAAACCACTTCAAAGAAACAGGATGTGTTTTAAGACAAGCATATTTTCGGGAATCGCCAAAGAGGGATATTTTGAAAGAAACAAGAAACTGTATTTGGGGGTTTTAAAAGAAGTGAAACTGTTTTCAAGAAAACTAAAGTTAATTCTCTTCTCGTTCAAAGTCTGGAATAATTAAACTAACACCCACAACTATGCGAGAAATAAGCTTTTAATTGAGCTTTTTATATTTAATTTTGGGGCTTTTACTAATGAAACTTTTTTACCCTTAAAAAACAATCAGTAGGTCAAACATGACCAAAGGTATTTTAACTAAAAATTGTTAATATTAAATATTAAACTCTTTTTGATTGCAAAAGTTGTAATTCTTTTTTTTTTTTTATGACCCAAGTTATACTGAACAGGTTTAAAGAACAAACTAAGTCAAAATTTGGACTGTATTGTTTTATATGTCAGCTCAGGATTAGTGAAAGTCTTTCTATTGTTTATTCTATTATTCACAGGTTTTCTGATAATATAAACTGCAAACAGTTACTGTATTGCTGAACAGGTTTCATATGGGCTGTAGAAACTGTTGGCTGATACTGTAAAATTCATTAGGGACCCATCCCTGCTTCCTCCCAATATTTATTCAGCCCTTTTAATGGAGAATGTAAGGAGTGACACACCTAAAGGCGTCCCGGGGCTTTCTTCTCTTCTCTCATAAATTCCACTTTCAAAACAAGTTTTACTTCTAATTACCTGAAGAGCAAACTCTTTGGGAATATCACAATAACCCCTTTATTCTAACAAAATACAATGAAATGCTGGTGAATTGTTGGAACTCCCCTACAGCTTTCACTTTATTAAAGGATAAAGTGTTTTATAAATTCACCATAAGTTGTTTTGGGTTTTTTTTTTTTTTTTTTTGTCTCTTATTTGGGTGATTCACATTAAGAAACATTAAGAAACCGGTCACAGAGCCAGTTTAAACCAGAAATAACTTCGTAGGTATTTCTCACCTGTGAGCATAATAACCTAAGGAAAGGGGTGGGGCTTTCCTTGTGACAGCTTGCAGGGCAGGAGTATCGCCTTGCTGCTCCTTCGCTCACTTCCTGAAGTACATGTTTTAGAAATATGTGGAGATCCAAACAGAGCAGTGCTCTGGAACTTGGATACAGCAGGGAACAAGATACATCACACCACTGCTAAAGGTAAGAACGAGGAACATTTCCCATCAGAAACTTCCCTACTTAGGGCAGGGAGTAAATCCAGTAAATGTAGTCGGGAAAACCAGTTAGAAAGGTTAGGGGTTTCATTTTCTGTCAGTGACAGGCTGACTGAGAAACTAACTGAATATTAAAGTAGGTGGAGACAGAGCATTAAAGTGTTTCTAGTCTTTAGCTTGCCAAACCTAAACCTCCTCTGTTAATAAGTAACTTGTTTTCTGGTCTTGTCTTTGGTTTGATTACAACAAGGTGTAACTAGATAAAAAAGCGAGCACTCTCCTTTAGTCTACACACACCTGAGAGTATAAAACTATCAGCTAAACATCCTAAGTGGCTTTCTGATACAGGAAAGTATCAGCCTAGTTCAACATTTCTTTTTTTTTGTCTACAGTTCACCCAACATGTTTTTGTGGCCATATCTGACACCACTCCTGCTGATAGCACTCCAGCTATGCACAGGTAGGAGTTTGCAATATGGGAAAAATAACAAACACGTCTTAGCATCACATTTCTGTCAGTGTATGATATTTGAACACAAACCCACCACATGATGACTTCTGACTTTATGTGAATCACAAGAGATGCAGCCGCAACTGTGGAGCTGAGATTTCTCAAGAATGAAAACATATTTATAGGAAACGGCCTTGCCTGGCGGTCATACAGTTCACTCATCAGGGGAATTACATGGAAGGAGTCTTACTCCTGTTATGCAAGAGGATGAATGCCAATATGACTAGTTTTCAACTGTTCTGCCTCAGCAAATATTTAAAGGCAAAATCATCTGTAAAGGTCAACAGGAAAACCACAAATCTAAATGTTTTCACCACTTCCTAATAAAAGCCTCAAGTTTAGGAAGCTTTATTTGACAGTTTTAGTTTCATACACTGCTTGCTCGTTCTGTTACACATTTGGAAGCTGATGCGAACATTTGGTCATAGTACATTGTGTAGTTACAATGTTGTTGGAGGAACTGTAGAACTAAGCGCTTGGGTAAACATTTTCAATCATCCAATTTAGATTTGCATCAGCTGAACTCTATCTTATTTAAATGAACGTGTTGTTACCTCTGCATGGAAATCAGTTGTTTATTTAAGCAAAGTTGTTTCTACACAAACGAAAGATGGTCAGGCAATGTGTATGTTGATGAGACATTTACATATATTAGTCCCTTCACAACCCCTTATCTTATGATTTCCTCGTTGTTCCACTTAATTAAAAGCCTTTAGAAAAGCTCAATCATCAATGTAACACCCTTGAAAAGATGGGAAAAAATTCATTATCATACAGATCACAATTTACTTTTGTTTAATGTCAGTGATGTGACATTTTTGATATTTCAATATTACAATCTAATGCATTTGACAAAGAGTGATGTTCACTGTTTTGTGTTGATTTAAGTTTTTTGTTTCTTAAAGCAAATATCTCTATAATCCATCCATTTTCTGTCACACCTATCCCTGCTGGGGTCATGAGGGGTGCTGGTGCATATCTCTAGCTGTTAATGGGCGAGAGGCGGGTACACCCTGGACAAGTTGTCAGTCTATTGCAGGGAAACACAGAGACAAAAAGGACAAACAACCATTAATTGACGCACACACTCACACCTAAGGAGAATTTAGAGAAGCCAATTAATCTAACAGTCATATTTTTGGTCTGTGGGAGGAAGCTGGAGTACCAGGAGAGACCCCACACATGCTCAGGGAGAACATGCAAACTCCATGCAGAAAGACCCCAGGCAGGGAATGGAACCTGGAGCCTACTTGCTACAAGGCAGCAGTGCTACCCACTGCTCCGCTGTGGAGCCTAGAAACATACTAAGATAATTGTCATAAGTTTGCACAGGCATCTGTTGTCAGCGTTCTGGAAAGTCTTTTGGGTTTGTTTTTTTATAAACACATGGAAATTATACCTACCATTTCTAATTAAAAATAAACACAAAATGGTAAATATTTTAAAACTTCAGCAATTACAAAATGCTGCCTTACTTGTAAAACCCTCTATGATTTATCCTTCCCCCCACTGTCTGAATACATTAAACCTAAAGCAGGTAGGGGTCTCACCCCCAGAGTCTCCTCCAGAGAATATGCTGAGATCCCACACAGAAAAAGAACATTGAGATAAACATACTAACCATATAACGTGATCTGTTATGAACAATCTGATAATAAACATAAGAGAAGGCTGTCTTACCTAATATTAGAAATAAAGAAAGGAAAAAAAATTCAGTCTTGTTATGGGAGATTCAAGACAGGGGCCAACAGGAGCTAGGGCCCCCGTAGAACAGGTCCAGGCCCCTGTATTAGAAAAATATTATTTCAAGTAAAAACACTTTTTCCTTTAGCAGATCATCTCATTTACCTGCTCAAATTAAGGCCAAATGCACTGATTTTAAGAAATGGATACTTATTTAAAGCTCTTTTTATAGTCTAATTCTAAATAAATTTATTTCCAATTCATTGAAACAGTTATTTAGAAATCACATCTTCAGCCGTATTAAGACAGAATCACAGTTATTATTTGTTAGACCAGGATTCTGCAGCTTTCTGGTTCACTCCATATACTAAATGCCCTGCATTTATTTTTATTTTTTTATTTGTTGTTGTTTTTATGAAAGACCACCCCACCCTTGGTAAATATTGTCTAGAAATGCCACTGCTTCTTGGATATGTCACCCCACCGATGTAAATGTAGCTGTTTGATTACACTCTTGCACATTTGTAATCTGTGTTTAATTTGTATAGGATTTGCATATGAAAAGTAAAACTAAAAGGAGAATTTATAATCCAGTTTCAAATCCTGTGCAGACTTCCAACATGTTTATTTTTTCCTATTTTTGTTTATATTAGAATTGCCCTGTTTTGACCGTCATCCTACTGCCCATTAACTTCATGCCACTAATAAAAAACATGATGCTATGGCTACCATGGTTTTACTATGGCAATCTGCACCAATTTCTCTCCATATTTTAGAGTTATTACATGAAATCAAGATTTAGTACAACCTTTAGTAAACCTGAATCCTTCTCTGACTCTCATGAATTGCATATTTAATTTGAAGAACATGTACCTGTTTTAGTTAACTTGAGCCACAAAAGTGCGAAACAACCTCTTCTGAAGAATGCTGGTTAATTCAAACTTTAAAGTGACTTCAGATAATCATTCATCTTCGTTCTGTTTTTTATTAGCTTTTCCAGTTGACAGATGTGAGAAATTCACAGACCTTTCTCTCCATCATGCCCTCGTTGGAACAAGCATCAGAGTCAGGCTGCTGCTGTACACTAGAGATAATGACAGCTGTGCTGTTCTCCTGTCTCACACCAACCTGACAGAGCATCCACAGTTTAACCTGTCCAGACCCACCACCTTCATCATCCATGGATTTCGGCCCAGCGGTTCTCCCCCAGTGTGGGTGGAGGACTTCACAAAGAGACTGCTGGGCAGAGGAGATATCAATGTTGTGGTAGTTGACTGGAACTATGGAGCTGCTAATATTGATTACTTTAAGGTAGTAAGGAATACATACAAAGTGGCAGAAAACCTAACAGCCTTCATTAGAATGATGAAGGTACAAAGCAACTCTTATCTTTTGTATCTAAATGTTGTGTGCCCAGAGAGCAATACCTCTAACAACTTTCCACAAAAAACCTCTGTTTCAGGATCATAATGCTTCTCTAAGCTCGATTCATATGATTGGAGTCAGTCTGGGAGCCCACATTTCCGGTTTTGTGGGAGCAAACTTTAACGGCTCGGTGGGAAGAATAACAGGTTAGTTTTGCATGTTAGGACATGATTTTATATCAGTCGGATTTAGAGTGAGATAAGTCGAGATGAAGTGAAAATAAAACTGGAAAACAATTTGAATTTCCTCTTTTTTACACAGCCCTGATAAATAGATTAGCTGCTAGGGGGAAATTCCTGATGTAATTGTATTGATTCCACTTGCAGCCTATTTGTCAGATGTCAATTTGTGGGTTTAAACACGTCAGTGATCTGTTAACAATCCTCCATCTGATTTGTACTGTCCTGATCTTTGCAGGTCTGGATCCAGCAGGGCCTACATTCACTGGTAAACCTCTAAAAAACCGAATGGATAGCACAGATGCTCAGTTTGTGGACGTGTTGCACACAGACATCGATGGTCAGTTGATTTAATTTCTTTCTTTAAAGCTCTAAGTGATGCTGGTTTTTCAGGCCCTCTTTTTAATGACTAATGCTGGTTTAATTTTTTTTCAGCTCTCGGCTTTAGAGCACCAATGGGTCATATTGATTTTTATCCCAATAAGGGAACAGACCAGCCTGGCTGTCCAAAATGGTTGACTGGTAAGGTTAAAGAAACAATTCAACATATTTCTATATGATTAACTGTAATTCATGTGATAATCTGCTTTCTGAACTCTTTCAACAGGATCCTCCTACTTTAAATGTGACCATCAGAGGTCAGTGTTCCTTTATCTGGACACTATAGATCAGAAATGTTCCAGCCTTGCGTTTCCCTGCTCCTCTTATGAAGAGTTTCTGGATGGAAAATGCATGAGTTGTGACCAATTTGGTGAAGCTGGATGTCCGGTCTTTGGTTAGTGCCGCTCATTGTTAAAATTATTACCTAAATACTTCTTAGTGTAGATCCTTGTACATGTATACTGTTAAACAACATTGTGTACATCTTTTTTAAATTGACTAATGGAGATGTTTGCACCTTTATCTAGGTTATGACATCATAAAATGGAAGGAGCACCTGATGAACCAGAGTAACACAAAGTACTACTTTAGCACCAATGAGGAGTCTCCATTCTGCAGTATGTATTCTCTATTCAGCAGAATAACTAGAGGGTGACATAAACAC